CTTGGTTGGGTCTGAGCGGCTGTGGGACTGGCGGGTGACAAAGATTTGTCCTTACTGTGGGCAAGGCAGGAAAACTCTAGCTACAGCAATGAGCACACTAGTTTAAAAAAAAAAAATCAAGGAAGCCAGTAAGGGTCCATGGGAAAGGAAGAGGAAGAGGCCTTCAAGAGGAAACAGGGCATGTGAGATGAAAGCAGAGGGGGATATTAGGGTTCATGTAGTGATGGGGTAACAAAACTAAAGATGTATTAAAAAGCTTTACAGACACTCACTGCTTTGTAAACTAGTTTTAAAATATATATTTTAGAGGAGTTTGAACAGAGGTAGGCTACATGGGTAGACAATGCTGTTCTCAGAATAAATGAGTTATTACAGAAAAATCTCATAACCAGACATGAGATACCTCCCTACCAGCTACTGGTCAGGCAGGCCCCAGAGGCTCCCAAAAGAGCATGGGCTATTGGCATTTCTCGTGTGTCTCCACCATAACTAGGTGGTAAGGCCCTATTGCTGGAGATAACACACACTTTGGTTGCAGCACATAGAGAAACCAGTCTGGAGCTGACCTGAAACCTTCCTCGTTGCTGGATGGCTTTCAAAGAGCCAGAAGGTGCTGTGCACGCTGCTGGGGAAGGAAGGCAATTAGTGGTATTACACAACGCTGGACTCTGCATGCTACAATACCGACCTGCCAAGCAAGATGTGCCCACGGTGGTATGAAGGTTACTGGGATAATCAGACACTTTTAGAACAGATTTGAGACCTCCACAGAAGGGAATTCATGGCTGATACTATAAACCTGGTCAAAAGCCCGTGGCTAGGGAGATCACAGACTCTAGCTGGGAAGCCTGCTACTGTTGTTTTGGCAAATGGTCATATTGGAAAACTGCCTTCTAAACATTTAAGTTTATCTCTACAGCGCTTTGCTGCTCTCAACCTTGGTCATTGACCTTTGTTGCTCCCACAGCCTTGCAGTGGGCATCAGTTAATACAGACTCATAACTGGGCAGAATACTGAAAATTAGTGATGGTTGAGTGCTTATCCCTAAATGGGACATCTTTAGCAACTGCCCCCACCCAAGGTTCAGGGATGTCCATAGATGAGGAGGCAAAGAGAATGTAGGAGTCAGAGGATGGAGAGGAGTGCTGTGAAATACTGTCTTCTGGACGGGACAAGGCCGCTGCCCTCATGAACTCGCATTGGTGGTTACCTGCAGAAATCCTCATAAGATCAAGCGAGTCAAGATTCCAGCAGGGATAGAAGAGGAGCTCTTGAGACCTCATCTCTCACCAAGGAGCCATTGCTGAGGAAGGAGATTTTTCTTTGTTGGAGGTATAACCTCTAGTAGGTTGTCCATGATCCAGTGGGTTGCCCTACATTATGCACGTATAGGCAGTGATAAAGGTTATAGGGAAGAAGAAAAGAAGGGAGAAGAGAAGGAAGGAGGAGTTGGAAGGGTGTGGCAGAACATCATCAGACAGACCACGCCCACTGTAGAGCAAGTATCCACGACAGTGATGGGAAAGAAACCATCATCTCCTAAGAACCACTTTCTCCCCTCAAGTGGCTAGGACTTCTCCAGACCACCTTGCAGAAACTGAGTAGGGGTGACCATCACAGCTACATCAGCACAGCCTTGTTATGACTATCTCTTGCTCCATCTCATACTCATCCTTTATTGAAAACAATAGCTCTTTCCAATATCCCCAAGATGGACTTTATCTGCTCCTCTTTTCAACATGGCTGCATTGACCATTCTCCTTCCTCTGTTTGTCACCATCACCTAACTTTTTAATTAGTGTAATAGCACCAGAGGGCCAAACCTAGCCTGTAGCTAGAGTTTTCCTGCCTGGCCCACAGTCAGGACAAATCTCTGTCACCCGCCAGTCCCACAGCCGCTCAGACCCAACCAAATAAACACAGAGACTTATATTGCTTACAAACTGTATGGCCGTGGCAGGCTTCTTGCTAACTGTTCTTAAATTAATCCATTTCTATAAAGCTATATCTTGCCACGTGGCTCATGGCTTACTGGCATCTTCACATGCTGCTTGTCATGGTGGCAGCTGGCAGTGTCTCTGACTCAGCCTTCCACTTCCCAGAATTCTTCTCCTCCTTGTCTTACCTATACTTTCTCCTGCCTGACTACTGGCCAATCAGTGTTTTATTTACTAACCAATCAGAGCAACACATTTGCCATACAGACCATCCCACAGCACTAGCCTGTTGGGGGCCAGGGGGTACCAGCCCAGCTTTTGCCCTAAAATTTCAGTCATAAAGTTGGCCATTAAGCTAGCTCAACAGAGATTTCAGTGTCACATAGAAAAAAAAATGTATCAAGTATACACAGGTAATCCTGAAAATTATTCTTCACAAAGCAGTATTTTCAACATGTAGTACAAAGACAACTTAAGAGCCACACTGGGAAAGAAAAAAAAAAAAGAATGAAGTTGAGTCTCATCTCATGCCATATACAAAACTTTACTCACAAGGGATCACAGATTTAAATGTAAGAACTCAAAGTATAAAATTCTTAAGAACATTCTGGTGGTTAATTTTAGGTGTCCCCTTGCTGGATTAAGAGACTGGGATATCTGGTATTATTTCTGGCTATGCCTGTGAGTTTATCTCTGGAGTATATGGGCCAGCAAAATGGACAAAAATCTGCCTTTTATCCACGGACAGAAATTCCCATTCATCCTCCCCCTCCCCTTCCTCCCTCCCCCTCCCCTCCCTCTCCCCTGCATCATGAACATTATATTGGTATATGATCATGTGTTCTTTAAACTTGTTGACTGCAGACACTGGGTGATTGTCCTAGATTCCATCAGGCTCATTTCAAGTATTCTCCAAGACCTCTTGTCCTGGGATGGGCTGTCCCTCTGTGTCATGAGTGACTGTTCTCCAAGCCAAGCACCCACCACCTTGGGGGGTTCAGCTGTGCCCCCCCCCTTACAACAATCTGGGCCTGTTGGTGGTTACGAATTCATGGCCTAATTTACAAAACGAAATAAAAGACCTGGACTGTACAGGGCTTTTCTTACGTTGAAGTGTGTCGTCTCTCCTTCCTGAAAGAAAATGTTGAAGCAGATTTAAAAAAAAAAAAAAGCAATCCCTTGCACAGAGGCATAGAGTACGGCACAAGATTCTGAGTATCCAGCTGCCCCCTACCACCTGGCAACCTTGCCTGTGGCCTGGGGGAGGAGCTAGTGTAGAGTAAGGGCTCTATCCATGTGGCTACATGGAAGCCCTCGGCCCTGCTGGGTAAGGCTTTCCAGGTGTGGACAGTTAGTTGGTGGAGATGTACTCACACCCCTGTAAGTAACCTCTCACTTAGGCTCTGTAAGGAAAACTAATAAACTCATCGGTACCCCAGAGTGAACTGTGATGGAATCGGTGCCACCATTTGTCATTGGAACCCCAGAATGTGGGTAGACATTGCTTTATGCCCCCACCCCAGAAGGAATTTCAGCAACACCCTGATGCTCTGTAATGTGGAGAGAGAAGAACAGAACAGCAAAATGGCCTGTGCTGGTATTTGACACAAACTAGAGTCACTCTAGAAAAGGAAACCTCGACTGAGGAATTGCTTCCATCAGAGTGGCCCAAGGGAATGCTTGTGGAGGCATTTTTTCATTAGTGAGTGATGTGGGAGGGTCCAGCCCACCGTAGTTAGTGCCACCTGGTGCTAGTGGTCCTGGGTTGTATAAAAAAGCAGGCTGAGCAAGCCGTGAGGAGCAAGCCAGTAAGCAGCACTCCTGTGTGCTTCCTGCTGCTGCTTCTGCTTGAGTTCCTACCCTGACGTGTCTCGATGTTTAACAAAACCCGTTCCTTCCTAAATTGCTTTTGGGAGTGGTTTTCACAATAGGAAGCAAACTAAGACACAGCCCAAGAGTAAAAACATTGTATCCTTGAGAATAGCTAAAAGATGAGCTATTTCCAATCGTGGGGAAGTGAAGGCAGAAGCTCATCCAGAAAGAGAACGCTCTGTTCTGCCTTGAACTCCAGCAGAAACTCCAGCGGGAGGGTCTCAAGGTTTCCCCCAGGCATTTCTGCTGGATAACTGTAAGCATCCCTTTGACTGTGCGCTCTTCCTTTACTTGAAAGCCTCACCAGAGGGAACACTGCTGTACCTGAGACTCTTA